ACTTGTTACAAATCTTCATTTCGACAAACATGAATTAGTTCCTACTGACAAAAAATATATATTTATGCAACATTATAGATAATAAAAAGTATGTCTAAGTCACACTTAGAATCAAGAAAAAAAGTACAATAATATAGTCATCCATAATGCCACTACACGTATATTTGACACAAAAAACATTTACAATGATATAGTGGGCACGATCCCAACTCAATTGAAATAATCACAAATAGTCGTACATCTCAATTACAAATATGCAAGATAATATAATAAAAAATGCAAGCTCCAAACATTGCTACAACTCAATTATCAAGAACATACATTTTTTGCATTAAAAATTTAAAAATAAAATTGAAAAATGCAAGATAATAGAATTATCATACATGCGACAATTATTTTACAATGATATTCACTTTAATTCCTCATGATAATACAGTTTAACAACATGTATTTTTTGCACTAAAAATTTAAAAAGATTTTTTTTATGCAAAACTGCATTAAAAATATAATACAGTTTAACAACATGTATTTGTTAAAATATTTTTTTGCATTAACAACAAATTAAAAAATATAATTTTGCATTAAAAATATAATAACATGTATTTTTTTGCATAAATAATCTATCAACATGCAATTTTTTGAACTAAAAATTTAACAATAAAAATTAAAAATATTGTTTAATTCCTCATGATAATAAAAAACTGGTCACAATTTTTTGAAAAATCACAATTTTTCAAAAAAATTGATCATGATTTAAAAAAAAAAAAAATGCAGTTCTTCACATATCCACCTAACATCAGTCATTCCAACTCAAAAAATCTGCCTCAAATCCAATAAATTACATCAAATTGAATACATGTTTGGATAAACACCAATCTAAGGAATAAAAGCCCTATAATATAAACACATTATTATCAAAATATTAAATAAAATCTATTGAATTGAAGAAAAAAAAATGCAGTTCTTTACGGACATCAGTCATTCAATCTCAAAAATCAAGCTCAAATTGAATAAATCAGGTCAAATTGAATATATGTGATGATAAACAACACTATAACAAATCAAAACCCTATAAATTTAACACATTTATTTGTAAAATATTGAGTAAAATTGATAGAATGGCGGTAAAAAAAAAAGTCCCAGTCCATTTTTTCTTCACAGACATCAGTTTTTTTTTCTCAAAAATCAAGCTCAAATTAAATAAAATCAAATTGAATACATGTGATGATAAAAAACACTATAACGAATCAAAACCCTATCAATTTAGCACATTATTTGTAAAATATTTAGTGAAATTGATAGAATGGCGGAAAAAAAAAAAAAACAAAAACGTAGTCCTTTTTTTCTTCACAGATATAAGTCTTTTTTTCTCAAAAATCAAACTCAAATTGAATAAATAAAATCAAATTGAATACATGTGATGATAAACAACACTATAACGAATCAAGAGCCTATAAATTTAATATATTATTTGTAAAATATTGAGTGAATTTGATAGAATGACAGAAAAAAAAAAAAAGCGCAGTTCTTACTTGTTTTTCGTGCACCCGTGTCTTCAAATTCAAATTTGATATGTATTCGTCCAAAATACTCACAAATTATGAACAAAAACTTCTGAGTAACACTTTTACGATCAATAACCTCAAATTTTACAAAAAATGATGCTCTCTTTTGCTTGAAATCAAAGAAATGGCGGAACGCTAAAACTTTTTTAGGGTTATTCACATATCCAAATTTTTTTGATCAAAATCGGTGATTTTTACTACCTTTTATTAACTGAAATGACTGAAAAATTTAAAATAAAACCTGCAAGATTCGATTATAAAGTTGAAAAAGATGAAAAATGATAAGAAAATGATAAAAAATCATGAAAATCGTAAAAAATAATGTACAGCCCATGTTCGTGGACGAATTTCAACAGTGACTCGACGATTCACTATTGAGAATCGTTCAATTTTCTCTAAACGCGGGCGATTCTCTGTATTGCAGTGGAACCGGCATGGCGTCTACCTATCCTCGAGTCGAACATAATTCTCGAACATAATTCTCAAGTCCTGTACAAGACACTATACAAGTTAGACGAGCCGAGCCGAGCGGTCACCAAAGCCACGATGAAATAAATAATATGTGACGCAAGCTCTTTACACAATCAAGCGTCCAATATCCAACGTCCGTTTCATCTTTCCATCTCGAGCCGAGTCGAGCTGAGCCGAGCTGTCACGAACAAGCCACGATGCAAGAATTAATATGTGACGTAAGCTCTTACATAATCAATTGTCGAAGATCCAACGTCCATTTCATCTTCAATCCCCAAGCTTACCAAACTATACGGTCTGGATTATTTGAACGAACTGGGGCCCCTAGTCATTAATGGAACGGTCTAAGCTGACCCCTAAGAAATATAAGAATGTCACCAATATCCCTAGCTTTCTTGTGGTTAGGAAGTCAAACTAAACACTATCAGCTCCCTTCCCGAGTCTAGGAAGTATAAAAAGTTTCCATAAGATATCAATTTTATAATATTGAAGTAAAGTGTATTTAAAAAATCCTTTAGAATGGAGTGTTTTGATTTATAATCCCCTCTACTTAATCATTTGGATCAAGAGATTTATGAATATGGAGGGAAAAAATTCGAACTCTTAAAGCTACACGATAACCAGTTATTAGGATTGTTTATGTTCAAGATTTTCAAATATTTATAGTTCAGCTTAATCAGTAGAATTTTTTAAATCTAAAATTTTAATAATCGGAGATGCAAATAGATTTTTGTCATGAGAATTCTGACATCGAAACTACATCTCTAAATGAAATTTAGATGTGTGCTTTACGTCTACAATATAAGATTGGTGGCTATATAAACCTCACCCTTAAAAAATTTCCCTAGTCGGATTGGAGCAGCACCTCGCGCTTAAAGACACTAAGTCTTGTGTCTCTTAGTTTTCTAACATACTCAAAGGTTCTGTTAAATGTTTTGATTCGACTCAAGACTTGCTTGCTCAGATTTGGGGTATACGGTCTTAGACCCCTGATAAGTCAGAGGTGGAGTCCTACTTTCTTAGACTATATGCTAGAATTTATAGTCTTGGGCCTAATATACACACTCTTTAGTATTATTAAATAGGGAAAGTGTATAATGAGACCATTTCACTTGGTTCAAGGTGGTCACAATTAATCTTGACCATTAGATGTGAAATTAGCTAGCTGCACTTATTTTATTGACTAAGCCAAAGTTCAAAAGAAATTTTTTGAAGTTTCGTGCCGTACTCAAGTTATTAAATTTCACATTAGATGGTTGTAAATAATTGTGACGTCCTGTATCAAAGGTAAATGGTATTGTCATATACAATTCAGTTTTTTTGTAAAAAATCTTCTTGAACCAAAAAAAATAAAAAAATAAAACATTGTGGAGTTGCCGATGTTGTTAGGAAGAAAATTTTCACAAAGCTCAAGATTAAATGATGATATACATTGTCTCTTTCAGTAATTTTAAGCGATGGAATGTGAAATAAGAAGTCATCTGAGATCTATACATGGATAAATACAGGCAAAGAGCACAAACGTACACATCCTACTGGCCAGTGTTTAACAGATCGGTCAGCCGATTGAACTAGCCACTTGCTGAGCTGATTTTGGATTTCGGAATTGGCTATTTAACTGAAAAGTTTTAGATCTAGAAAGAGGGAAAAGGAGTTGTATAAATCCATGTCTGTATGATGTTTTAGAGTTTAAATCATAGAAAAAAACACAGCGAAATGGGTAAACTAGCGAGAATCGGGTCAATTCTTATTTTAAAAAAAATCAACCTCCATAGCCGATCAAGATCTGCAAAATCATTTTTCAAACCCCCTCTATTACCTAAACAAGAAACGTATTTGTACGACAAGATCGATAAAAGACAGTGTTTTAAGAACCTAGTAATTTCTGATTTGGATGCCAATCTGGATAGAAATCGGCCAAGGACCTAAGTCTAACAAGGATGGTGTAGATATCAGCTTGATTCCCCTATAAATACACCCAAGCCCTTGCCCCTCGAACCCCACCCTACCCCAACCGCCCACTTTTTTTTTTATATTTGTTTATTTTGCTTCATTCTTTTCAAATGTTTTATCAAGTGCCCTTAAATCCCCATCCTATAAGCCCCTATTGTAATTTTAATATTATTTTTTATTTTTACTTTTTTTTGGGATAACCAATTTCAACTCATCCATACTCAATTCAAATAGCAAATCTAGCGATCCAACACAGATCTATGAGATAAACAAGCCGTCCCACTGAACTAGATTTTAAAAAACGAAAAAGTTTTTGGTGAGTGAGCCGACACGCTACTTTTATGCGGTCGCCCTACAAAATATGTCTCAAAGATGCATTTTCGATTCAAACTTTTAGGGTCCAATAATCTCAAAGTATGACACTCATCTAAATTTGGCATTTTTTATTTTTTAAAAAAATAAATATCATTTTTCGAACTCCTTTCTTCTCCATTCCTTTTAACTTCTAGTCGACCTAACATTTTTTGACACATATCTTAGAGATGGATGATAGATAGATAAGAGACCGCACGGTAATAGATGAGTTCGCTGACCCACCAAAACCGTGTTTTAAAAAACCAATAAAAGTATGTGCACGAAAACGAGGCTACAATGCTCCATGAAAAGTCTTGGGTGTAGGCACGACATTGTCAATTTGTTTGTGGTAAATGGGGTCTTCCTTTCCGAATAGCAGATAAAAAACTTAAAAAAGAGGGGATAATAACGAAGAAAAAGAATCAAAGAGAGAGTGAGAGTTTGAGAGGAGAGAGAAAGGAGGAGAGAGAGTTAGGGTTTGAGAGGAGAGAGAAAGGAGGAGAGAGAAGAGAGAGAGAGAGAGAGGGGGAAGCGCAAATGGCAAGAGGGGAAGTTGGTGTGGTGGCGACACCATTCACCTTCTTCGTCCATGGATTGGGCGTCATCGCTGCTGTTCTTGTGCTCGTCTGGTGCATCTATTTCAGAGGGGGGCTTGCTTTCTCATCTTCCAATAAATCCCTCATTTTCAATGTAAGTAATAACCCATTTTCCTTTTTTTTATTCCCTGCAAATATAGTAACACCCATTTCCTTCTATGATATAATGATCAAAATTAATAGATTTTTTTTAAAAAAAGTACTCATTTCCTTCTGTGATATAATGATCAAAATTAATAAAAAAAAAGTATATTTTTTTAATACAATCAAATTATTAATGTATTATCCTTTGTGATAGACGTAGTAATACTAATTGATCTTGGTGATGGTGCTCGAAATAATTTTTTAGTTATTTGATTTGCCTTTTCACCCTTTTTTTTTTTTAAGGGTTTGTGGGTTGTATGGTTTCTTATGGATATGATTGGCTTTCTCTCTCTTATCCAAGAAATGGATATTACTGGTTCGCCTCTCTGTTTCTGAGAATAATCAGTTTGGAGTAGATTTTACCCCTGTTAATGAATGAAATTGGGGCTTTTTTATTTTCTTAAAAATGGTTATATGCTTTTTCGAAATTTCGGATTCTTTTAATTTGTGTATTTATTTCAGAATGTAGTGGTTAAGCTTTAGGTTTTCATTGTTTAATTTCTATTTTACTTCTTTGGAGATTTAAGGTTTTCTTTTTTTAACTATTTTATCTTTAGAATTGATTTTCACAATATTCAGTTGAGATTTACTGTGCTTATGGGCTGCCCTTAATAAGTCGGTGAACTTGTGTTTTGGAGGTAGGTATACTCACTAGGTGCCCACGTTTTTCACGAATAAGAAAAGTTGTTTTTTTGGCCCAAAAATAACACTCATTATAAAGGATTTTATTTTAAAAAAAATACCAAAAGATTTCATACTCACGCGGTATTATACTGTCCAGTTACTCCTAAAAGGATAAAACCTTTAGGACCTCAAATTTTGTCATGTGATTTCTTCAATCCATAAAGCAACCTCAATAAAAAAAAAGGGTGCGGTTTGTATAGAGCCGAGGCTCTAAACAATCAAAGTAGGGCCCACCTTCAAATAATGCTAAGAAATATGGTTTTAATATTGAAAAGTTTCAATGAATAAAAGGTGCGATTTGTATAGAGCCGAGGCTCTAAACAACCAAAGTAGAGCCCACCTTCAAATAATGCTAAGAAATATGGTTTTAATATTGAAAAGTTTTGTGATTGTCTTAAATTATATTTTCATCTTTAGTTATAAAATTTAAAGCTTAAAAAATAGTATGGATCAAGCTGATCTATGAAAGCTTGAAAATCTTGAAAATTGTTTGTTCAAAAAATAAGATATAAGATTCACTATTTTTAAAACTTGAAATCCATTTTTTTTAGTCATGTCCATGCATCTTGATGTCGAGATGATTAATTTGATGATATTTGGGCATCAAAACATCTTTTAGTGAAAATTTTGAGGTAGGCCTTAATTTGATTGTTTAGAACCTAGGTGTTATATAAACTTTTTCCATTAAAAAAAAAACCATTGTTGTTTCAAATGGTGTGGTTGTGAGTAAAGTGGCCCATTGGACAGTTTTTTTAAAAAAATTAAACTTTGTGAAACACCCAAGCTATCCAATTGGATATTTTTGTGAATGTATCTCAAGATTGAATATAGAACCTCCAATTTTTGAGGGGTGAGACCTATGTGTTAGAAAATTTAAAATATAAATATTTTTTTTTGAAACTAATCTTCTAGTGATTTTTAGATGGATGATGATGATGATCTTAGGTGGTTGTTGAAACTTTAAATTAAAATTTTTAAAAAATATCCTCTTAAATAGGATGTACAGCTTGCTCCCGCAAGAGCATGGTATACATGCTCCTAGAAATGGTATTTTAGAATATATAATATCTGCTGCCACGCTAACAGGAGCCCTACAGGAAGGAAGGAAAAGCTTATTTTTCTTGGACATAAAATTTAGTAATTTTATCCTATTTTGACTATAGTATCCTTCTTTTGTCCTATGGTGTCCCCCTGTGTTGTGGTACTTTGCAATGGATGAAAAGGACATTTTTGTCATTTTGAATATAAGGGCTGATTAATTGTGGTTTTACTTTTTGCGTTTCTTGGACAGATCCATCCGGTCCTCATGCTCATCGGCTTTGTCTTTGTCGCAAGTGAAGGTACACCATTTCATTGTATTTTCGATCACTGTAAACGAACCTGTATATGGTGTTTAATACACATTTAGGGTATCCATGTCCATTCTCGAGATGGACGGAGGAGATGAACCATCATCCTCTATTGAATATCCCTTAGAGCATGGTTCATCTAGCCATGCGAGAATGGAGAAGGTGGATGCCCCTCAGGATTATTGTACACTAGCAGCACTAGGCATGTGCTATGCATGTTCTTATATGGTGTACCACGAGCCGATGGACTCGTGGTGCAGCCCTACCTAACCAGCACTCTTAACATTTTATGTTAGAAAACAAGAGGGATAATATATTTTTTGTTCACTCGGATTCGCCCAAGTAAACTCCCCTCAGCCAATGCTCGCGTGCCTTGGCTGAGTCAATTTTTTATACGCTATTATTATTATTATTGGGATGGTAAGAATGCAAAAAAACATATAATCCTAAGATGGTAACAAAAAGGTACAATAATCTTTCTAGAATAAGAAAACCTAAAACTTAGGGATTAAGTTTTTAATGAATGATCGAGAGTATCTCTGCTTTTAATAGAGCAGAATGGCATGCCAGGATTCATGTAACGGACCCCAATTAATTGAAAAAAGGCTATGATGATGATGATGTGTAATCCCAAAATGTATTCCTAAGTTTGGATGAAGATAATGATCTTACAAAGTGCGTTGTATATTGTCCGTCTATTTTAATTTAGTAGAAGTATATTTGACATTTATTCTAAGATAGTAACAAAAAGTTATACGACTTTAAAGATAATGTGAAATCAATTCGATCCAAAGTAAAATGGACGGTATCGATTATTGCAACCGTACTTCTACATATAAGGTTGCAATTTTATATAAACTTGCTCCATTCACAAAGAGATAGTTTTGTTTTGTTATTAGATTATGTATTATTTAGGTTTGGAAAAAGTTTATATAAGTGCGGGACTCGAAACAATCAAATTAGGGTGCATCTCTAAAATTTTACTAGAAGAGGTTGCTTTGATGCTCAAATATCCTCAAATCAATCATCTCGACCTCAAGATGCATGGATATGAGAAAATATTGGATTTTAAGTTTTAGAAATAGTGCATCTTGTAATGCATTGTTTGACCGTCGATTTCAACATTATCAAGTTTTCATAGATTTGTCCGATCTATACTATTTTTTAAGCTTGAAAGTTTATAATTAGAGATGAAAATATATTTTAAGGCTATCACAAATATTTACAATATTAAAACCACATTTCTAGATACTATTTGAAGGTGTGCTTTACGAGCCTCGGCCGCACTCTTTAGTTTTTATTGAGGATGAGGTTTTGGTGCATAAATGGACGCACCTGTTCATGTATTGTACCATTCGAGTTCGATAACATCGAGCACCATAATAATGAATCTAAGGAACAAATAGAAAATGACTTTAAAATGAGTCCATTTTTAACTTCTTTTTTGCACCCTTCATTTTACCTATTCACGTGAGAATGGGCTCTAAACAGCCGTAGGTAGTGTGCGGGGTGCTACAATGTGATGTCCAGAATTTTGTTCTTACTAATCCCAAGCTAACATATTTTTAAAAAGATGTAAACTATTTTTAGATCTACAAACATATGGATCTACTGTGTAATGTACTTCAAGATATTTTTCACATCCTAAATCTATGGAGAACTAGGGTAGATTCTTGCACCCAATGATATATGATAATTTTTTCAATTAAAAGGTAAATAGAAATATTTATTATAGGAAGGGATAGATATAAATTTGGATAAAGAGGTAGGTTGCCTTGCTCCTGCTGTGTATGCACCCCCCCGAGGGCCCTCCTTGACCCTAGTCCCCATAGAACTGGCCCGGCCTTAGCTGGGTCAAAGAGGCCCTGGCCCTATCACGGCCAGGTTGGGCCAAAGGAAATTAAAGAAAAAATGTAAAGAAAAAGATGGCCCAGTTGGGCCAAACCATGCCGGGCCCTGGCCTTGGACCAGCTTAACCATTCCCAGCGTGGTTCTCGGGCCACATTTTATGGCCCATGCCCTAGTCTTTTTAGGGCCGGGCTGCACCAACCGGCCTATGGCCACCCCTACTATGACCTAATATATATAGAATATGTACCCTAGGAGAGTATGTTGGTTCATAGGAAATCACTACTATCCATCCAGGCATCTCTACTAGCGAGATTTCCAGGAAATCATCTCCATAACTCTCAAACTATGAAGTGAAGTCGCTTTACCATGACAAGTGCTATTTCGTGTAGCATCATGAGCCTTGGGTGCTTTCATACTTTTTGTTTTCTCCTTAAGAAACATGGAAAAGCAGTGCCATGGAGAAAAAAACTCTCTCCAAGTGAAGTCTCCCACGAACCAAACGTGCTCTATGAGGCAATAGTATACTTTCCTGTTTGCAATTGTCCTTGACAAATGATGAAGATCACCTTCCTGGAAAACTGTAATGCAACAGAGGGTTGGATTTTTAATATTTTATAAAACTGTAATGCAACAGAGGGTTGGATTTTTAATATTTTATTTTATGCCTGAAAAGTTTGAAATACTGTGATATCTTTAAGGAGTAAATGTGAAAATACCTGGTTTGCATTAACAATTTAGTAAAAGCATATTGAATTATATGCACTGTTTGTAAATTTATTCAAAAATAGCATACGACTGAGAAAGGCTTGCATTACAAGATAATTAAAAGAATCTATTTTTTAAAAAATAATAGCATCTATTTGAAAGATGAAACTATACAATGCAAATAAATGTGGAAAGAAAGCTGGAATTTCTATCCCAGAAATTAACAAGTACAATAACTGCCATACGAACATGGAATCAATACCAGTATCTTAAACCCTTGGCTCAGATTGGGACTCACGAGGGTCCCAAGAGCAAGTCAGGAGGATCGACTTGCCCTAGTCTCAGTCAGACCCAGCTACCGGGCCAAGTCAATATATTTAACAAAGAACCTTGAGCATCAATGAGACGTCCGGGTTCTAAGGTTTTTCTTTAGACCCAACACCCTGGCAGGTCCAAGTGACTCACCCCGATGAGACTAAGAGTTTTAAAACACTGATTCTCATAACAGTATGATTGTGGTCCTGGGAAGCCCTTGCACTGCATCACACTTACCACTTAAACAAAAGAAAGATATAAAAAAAGAGATGAGAGAAATTCTAAATTTGAAATCTTCTTTTCTTGTTTCTTTGTAATGCAGCTATTTTGGCTTATAGAATTCTTCCTGGGACAAAAGAGGTGAGGAAAATTATTCATTTGAGCCTCCATTTCATCGCACTTGTGCTCGGCATCGTCGGCATTTATGCAGCTTTCAAGTATCACAACGAGAGTGGGATTGTGAATTTATACAGCTTGCACTCCTGGATTGGGCTTGGAACCATCTGCTTATTTGGCATCCAGGTATCAGATTCAGTTATATTTATCCTTCTAAAATTTCAATCAATATTTAGAAAATAGGAATTGAGTGCCGATTTGAGTCGGTCAAGATTTTGAATTGGCCTAAACGTTTTTTTTTTTTTAAAAAAAGATGAAACAAAAAGAACGAAAAATTGCTTGGAGTAGGAAATCGCCTGAGCCTTTTAGGGAAACGGAGGATTCAGCAAGGTATACCACCATACTCTAGACAATACATGCAATTCTGTGATTTGGTGCCATTTGGAACTGAAGACTCTCTAGGTCCTAGCCGATTCGGGTGATTATGAGAGGGCTCAACGATTTTTCAATCACTGGTTATATCACTTGTTAAAGTTGAATTATAACTAGATTTTGAATTCATATAACTAAGGAGTCTTTCGATACTCCTGTGGGTGATTACGCTGTGAAGGCCTAAATCTGACATACCCAAAGAAAGAGACAAAATGCTTATGATTTGATCAAAAGTTTCCTTTCGTGAAAGTTTTAAAAAGAAAAACAATTTTTTAGCAAGTAAATGAATTCAAACCAGTTGAAGCCATACTTGAAATTCAAATTGAATTCCTTTTTAGAGGAACATGGACTAGTTGTTCTAATGTGATTTTAGAAGGAAAATGAGAATGGAACATGTTGAGAACTAATCTTCTTAGGGAAGGTAAAGAGTAGAATGGTTTGAATTCGCGAAGAGGCAAATCTTGATTTTTCTCTTGTTTAGTTGGGAAGAACTTTAGTTCATGTAGGGTTGAGAATTTACCCAGTTTGAATCCGTAACCCGAATTTCGCACCCTATTCGGATCTTTGTATGGATCCAAGATTTGGATTCGAATAGTATTTCGGATCAGATCTGGGTACAGGTGAATTCGATTTGGATCTGATCTAATTATTAAAATATTATATATTATTATTTATGTTATATAATATTTTTGGAGATATATTATTTTATAGATATAAAATAATATATAATTTTTTTTTGGATCAAATCGGATTCGGACCCGATTCGACCCATTCTCGACCTTAAGATGAATTCAACGACTAAACGTTGCGTTCAAGATGTAAATCTTACGTAAGGTCAGTCGAATTTCTCATCTTTAATTAGGTAAATCGATTAGAGCACATAAAATGTGTTATCTTTTATCGGATTACTTAACTAACCAAATAAGAGATTGAAATGGATGAGTAATCGGGTCCCAAGTCTTGGAGGACTCCAAACTGAGGAATCACACGAGTTGAATTGAATCGGCTGGTTCTTGTATGGGAGTCGAGCAATTCCCCCTTTGCCGGGCTTTTTCAATTTGGGCTCTATTTTTTCGGTTTGGTTTCATTTGGGGCTACTGCACCCCCAGATTTGAGCCTCATTGCCATTTTTCCATGATTGCTTAGGGCATAACTAGTAACATCTTGGTGTGACGAGGTCCATGGAAAACAACTTGATGCATTTGATGGCCTTGCCTATATGATTCATCTCAAAGAAGAGAAGACTTAAAACAAACAAAGTGGACATCAATTCTATTTTACATCGAAAAGTTTATATAATGGTGAGGCCCAAACAATCAGATTAAGACATGTCTCAAAAATTCACTAGAAGGGGTTCTTTCAATGTCCAAAAACCTCAAATCGATCATCTCGACGTTGAGATGTATGGGCATGAGAAAAAATAGATTTCGAGTCTTGGAACTAATGCATATTGTAATGCACTTTTGGACCGTCAATTTTTAAGATTTTCAAGTGTTCATAGATCTATTCGATCTACACTATTTTTGAATCTTTAAGTTGTATGATTAGATATGAAAATAAATTTTCAGGTCATTATAAAAAAATTTAGTACTGAAACAATATTTTTCAACACTATTTGAATGTGCCCCTTGCTTTGATTGTTTAGGGCCTTGGTCTTATACATACCATGCCCATGGATGAAGTTTCAATAAGGCCTAGGCATTATGAAAATAAAATAAAGCATCACGTGAAATCCTCGTCTAGAAAGAACTTTCGGCATCATAAATCTTCATGATGGCTTTAAAATTAATTTCCAACACCGACAATAAAATTTGAAACTAAAAAACTGGTACAGATCTTATGGATTTGTGAACACTTATTTTTGGAGCGAAATGGATGGTCTAGATAATTTACTGCAATATACACTATTTTTAGAATTTAAAATCCTAATTTTTTTGCACAACCATAATGTTCAAGCTAAGATTATAGATTTAATTGTTTTTCAAGACTTGAATTGCAATTTTTTATGAGTTATGAGGTGAGAGTTTATTTATTTTGATAAGTCTGCAGCCCTATCAAACAATTTTCCTTCTATTTTTAATTATGAAAAAAGTTTATATAGGGATGCAACCTTATAATGTAGAACTACGGATGCCTCTCAAAAATCCATCGGAAAAGGTAGTTTTAATGTTGAAAAACCTTTTGATTGATCATCTCAACATCGAGATGTATGACTATGAAAAATAAAAAGATTTTAAGTCTTAGAAATAGTGTATTTTACAACATATTATCTATACCATCCATTTCAAGATTTTCATATGTTTCTATATCTACTTGATTTTAACCATTTTTTAAATTTAAAATGTTATAATTAGATATAAAAATAGATTTTGAGACAATCCTAAGAACATTTTACATCAAAATTATATATCATGTTAAAATTTGAATGTGCATCTTACCTCTACACCTACAGAAGCATCTATATATGCCAACTGCACCCTTAGATAAAATAGAATGTGAGCAAATTTTTAATTTAAAGCTCTAGAGAACTTACTATAAAAATTAAGGCAATAAAGAACTTACTATCTTTTAAGGCAATAAAGAACTTACTATAAAATGCTTGAAATTAAAACCTACCAAAAAAATTTCATATTCAAACTTACCAAAAAAAAAAAATTTATGCGACTACAGAAATCAAGGGCTCCTTGCATATAGATGAACTCTCAAGGGTCCAAAAAATTGCTTGATCCGGAATTGGTTAACCTTTTTTTTTCCCCTCAAATATCAGCAATGAGGAAGTACTCAAAAAAAAAAGGGATCTTTTGACCAAGTTTGAATGGGGTAAACTCTATTGTATTGCAGTCTAGTCCGGTCTGGTGCGATCTTGATGGCCTAGAATCACAACATCAAGAACCCGAGAAAAGTAGGTTAACACCAAAGCAAGAGCGTCTTGTAATTTTTTTTTTTAAAATATGAGTCAATGCAAAAAGAAAATGGATCCAATCATGTATCTTTCATCGAACTGCAACAATCTGAACAACGAAAGCTTATGTACAAAGGAAGTGATCTCATTTCGCATATCACTGGCCCAAGTGATTGTGATTGTGATGGGTTTAGGGAGAAATTAAATGAGGGTCTTACCTTATCCGGGAGAATAAGGATATCGAAGTGGAATTGACCCAATAACCTATCCAAAACTTCCAACCACTGAGACATGGTTCTTCCAATTAACCCTTTCCCTTTCGGATTTAGTATTCGACATAAAGAACACTGATTGGGTCCGCAGTCTAGCTCCCATAAAGCCATAAAATAAAATAAGTGACATAGGAACCCAGAATGCATCCCCAATTGCGGCAATGAGCATGGAAGTCTCATAACTATCTCATAACCTTGCTTTGATACTATTGTTAATCCCTATATAAAATAAATAAATAAATAAAAATTGATAAACAATTTATTCGGATCTGTTTTTAAATCATACGAGGGAGTTGAGGTTCCATATCAAATCCTATAGATCAAGCCATCTGGTGACATATATGCAACCTTGAAGTCTTCTTTGGTGAATCTCATTCACCTTCTCTTACTTTTTCTATCATTTTCTCTCTATCTTTTTTAGAGGGGTTAACCTCGAGAACATATGTATTTTGTAACTCTTATATTTATAGTCTATGGGAGTTGAGATTCAAGTTTAACTCATGCTTTAATTCTTTCAAGTGCAGCTAATTAGGATTAACAAGTTGTCACCAAACTGTTTAATCATATGTAATGAGCTAAATCTATCATTAGTTCACTAATGACTCACATAATAGGATGTCATCCAAGTATTCTCACAAATTGATAAAAGATATTTAGAAATTAAATGAACTTTATATATCTATAATATAAAAAATAAATTCTTAAAAAGAATCCAAACAGATTTTTCCTCCCATGCAACATTCTATTAAAGCTAAAAAGTGTTTATGTTAACTACATGATAATTCACGTATATTTCAATAAGGCTTTTGTACCATTATTGAAAAAATAAATTTTCGAGAGAAAAGAACCTGACAAACTACATTTCCAAAAGATCTTAATGTCCTCCCATCCCAAAAATGAAATGGAACTCTCTCTCTTGCACACATGGCTTATGCATGAGCATCACACCCACATCTATACATTAAGCTTCTTACATGTTTTCAATATATTTCTTTTTGACAACAGTTAGTTAATTTATTAAAAGAAGATTATTATATATTTCTTGTGTAGTTAAAAAGGTAGGAATCGAAGGTTTACAAAACCCCTATTAGTTAGCAGCATTAGCCAATTGATCCGGATCCGCCTCATGATTTGTAATAATCCATATTTTTGTTGACTTGTTTTGCAGTGGTTGATTGGGTTGGTCACATTCTTCTATCCGGGAGGGTCCCAAACCGTAAAGGCAACAATACTTCCATGGCATGTGATTTTTGGACTCTTTGTTTACATTTTAGCCTTGGCCACCGCAGAGTTAGGGTTCTTAGAGAAGCTGACTTTCCTTGAGAACTCTGGCTTAGACAAGTATGGATCTGAGGCCCTCTTGGTTAATTTCACTGCACTTGTTGTCGTCTTTCTTGGGGCCTTTGTTATTTTAAGTGCAGTTTTACCTACCCAAAGAGAGCCACAAGGCTATGCTCCCATAGCTGAAGATTAATAGAAAGGGAATTTATCTTTTTATGTATTGTAATTAGCTATACAAACGATGCTTAAATTTGTATTACTAATATTATTAAGGTTGTTGATGCTTGGTTTTTTTTTTTGGGTAATTCAGTGGGGATGACGAGCCGTTTTTTAAAATCATTAGTGGCACAAAATTGCTGTCCTTGAGGCCATGCTTTGAAGATAACAATGTGAGATCCTTGCATGATTGATCTGAGTTAGATCTTTAATCTCAGCAAATTTGGGTTTGAGGTCTCTCTAGATGGCCATTTTATCACTTTTTAATCTCCTTCCTTTCCAATTCCATCATCAACCTTTGTCCTTGATGCAAAGGAACTTGCTTCTTACTTATTTGCAGTGACATCTCCCCAAAATGTCAGGACTGAGTTGTTTTAATCTGTGATCTCTAAGGCTCATGCAATGTTGCCACTCAAGTTAGAGAGAGAGAGAGGGGCTTTTTCTTTCTATAGGAAAGATAGATAGAGAGAGAGTGAGAGGCTTTTTGTTTCTCAAAGACACATGCATGCTTCTGATATTTCCCTTATAAAGAGTGTTAATAGACAAAAAAATTACACAAAAAGATATTCAGAAAAATTGGACCCTTCCCTTCAAGCAGAGATGCAACTTAGAAGGATCTCCTCACTAACTCGTCCACAACTCAAAAAATCTGACACTTCCATTTGTGGCACATAATTCCTCTTCTCTTTTGCTTCTTTGCTTGTTGCATCAACTGCTCTCTCTCCCTTCTTACTAGCGGCAGCCGCTGCCGTCGCTGCTGCTGCTGCCTTTCTCTCTCTAAACCGGCATCTCACATACTCCTCAGAAATGTAAACATCCATCTCTCTTTCTCTAAAGGGGATTCACTCTCTCTCTCTCTCTCTGTGTCTCTAAAGGGGGGATTCAAACCTTTGTTCAATAGCCTTCAGCTCTAAGCTCTAAGCTCTAAGCTCTAATCCAAGGCAGACCACCCCACTTCTCTCTCTCCCTCTAAAGACCAACAAAAATCGTATCATTCTCTCCCCAACGGGAGGAAAATTAATGCCTCTTTCTCTCTCTAGACACAACTGAACTGAAATGCTTGGGTTAAAGTGAATTTATAAGCTTAAGCAAAGGAGTGGAGTGAGAATTACTATGGGCGTTTCACTGCGTGTGAGGCATAAGGGGGGCTCAAACAGTGGGCTCAAATTGCCCAAATGGACGGTTTAGATCTCTTTGATCATTGCAGTCACGTAGATCGTGGCCGTCAAGCTCAGATTGAAATGTATGTATGCACTGACCAATCATATATTGCCACGTTTTACGTTTTCTCAAGTGGTTTCCAAGCGGGTGTGGTGATTTTTACTGGAGATGAACAGTCCGGATTTTTTTTATCTTGGCTGTCCATTCTGTACACCAATAAGGCAGTGCCATGTGGCACGCGTTTCCTCTTTCTTTGGGAATCAACGTGAACTCGACTTTACTTTCTATGTGCGACATTTCGACTTACATAATTTCTAGAACTGGGACAAGGTTTTCTGTGGGTTGACTCATTTATTCAATTGAGTCCCCTTTCCTAAATCTATTTTATTAGAGATCGATTTTCGAATTGGGAATGTTTCTATATGGCCACATCTAAACATCTTAGCCATTCGATAATCAAACGGGGTCATACCACAATGTCACGACGTCAAACACATTTTTAATTATTTTTTATAAAATATTTTTGGATAAAATTTTAGGCATCCCATGATAGAATTAGAAAGAATATAATAAAAAAACAAATATATTATGTTAAAATAAATCCCTAAAATGCCCTTATAATATTCAAGAGTCTTTTTTTTTATTAATTGTATCGTATGTGCCCCTGTCAGATCTATGCATGCCTCAAATTTTGCTTCAAAATTATTTGTATAATAAAAATAAAAAATAAAAAACCTATGAGTCGTCTGATCAAAATATGACGTTAAGAACTAGCTTGTGACATTGTGACTCAAGCCATCTCAACCGTCTACTCAGATCTGACGACTGAGACCAGGGGTCACATATACTTTATATTTTTGTGGGGTCACATAGAAAGCTCCGTCGATGGATTAAAGAATTTTAGGTTTGATAATCTATATTATTGTGAACATGAATATTAAAAATGTTTTATGTAAAAAAAAGTAATTTAGACTGTTCATTTATATATTTTGGTGGTAACAACACCTTTTTAACCTCCATCTTTAAGATGGATGATAGTTGCATCAAGGGACGCACATGTAGAAGCATGCCCTCCTTTTCCTAAATTTTGTAGTTAGTGGTGGAAATAAATTTCCATGATATCATAAGGCTTTTAGGCATAGGAGAATTGCATCTTTCGGTATAGTTTGAAGTTGTGACTTACTTTTGATTGTTTAGGGTTGAGACCTTATACAAATGGCACCCATTTAATGAACACAAGCTAATGGTGATCTTGTGATAATCTAGTGCATCACATTTCCTTTTCTTTTTTTTTTTGAAAATTTTTATGTTTTTAATACTTTTTCAAAGCTTTTTTTTTTTTTTTGCTGTTACTTTACTCGACAGCACTACTCAGGCCGAGTTATTCAGACTCAACCCGAGTACTCAACTCAGGCCTAGACCGAGTATTCGGCCCGAGTCGACGTTTCTAACCCTAGTACCTACCTATGAAGTGTTTATAAGATAGTTTATAGCAATGCTTTCTGGATCTGCCTTGTCCTGGTCATCATAAAGAATAAGCAAACCCCTTCTATTTTATTTATTTATTTATAAGAATTCACTTTTCATGCATTCATTCATCGCAAAATATAACAGTCTACAAAGAGCCCTAAAGCTCCACACAATTATTAAAAAAACAAAAAAAACCAGAAACTAAAACACAGCACTACAAATCCTGCAACAGCTCAATACTTAAAAGTTTTCCAACGAAACACCTTCTTTGGCAAACCTATCAGCTTTCATATTTGATTTTTGACCTATCAGCTTTCATATTTGATTCTTGATATACATGGCCAAATAGAACAGTTAAATTACAGCATTCCACTCTCATTTCTCTCACCAATCTATGTAACAACCAAGGAAATTATGCCTCAGACTTTACCACTTAATAACATTTAGTGAATCGCCTTCTATTATCAGGGTTTGCCAAATTGTTTACCCAATTTAACACCTTGAAGCAAAGACGTCATCTCCGCCCCATTTGCCATTATGGTCCCTATAGGTCCGGCAAATTTCAATAAGACATTTCCAACACAATCACAGATAATACCCCCAATCCCTGCAGGGCTTAGGTTACCCATAGAACTACCATCGAAGTTCACCTTAATCCACCCTTCATTTGGTTTTTTCCAAATACCTACTCTGATCTCTTTAAGGCTTTTTTACTTTAATAAGATATTTAGATAATACATTAGATCAACCCGAGGTACCCCCCACCAATCCTTTATCACTGATAACCATTCTACTGTAGTAATCCTGATTTTCTCTTTAATCCCATTAACTGATTTACTTTGACTTTCAAAGCATCTGTTGTTTCTCTCTTTCCATAACTCCCACACAATAGTTTCTTTCACCACTTTCCAAATACCTTTGACCTTTTTACCTACTTGCTCTAATCATCAATAAATCTGTCGGCATTTGAAAGAAAACCAACATTCACCCCCAAAAAGTTAAACACCCATCCCCACAGCCTTTTCCCAAAATTCACAGTTAAAAAATAAATGGTCTACAGTTTCTTCATCATTTTTACATAATAAACATACATTTGGGATCACTTTTCCTCTTATTCTCAACGTATCCACAATTAATAATTTTGTTTATGATAGTATCCAAATGAACACTCTCACTTAAGGGGAATGGGCCATTGCCAAATCTTTGCTAACCTTTTATCTATCAAACTCCGTCATGTTACATCAAGTTATAAGCAGATTTAACAGTAAATTGACCATAATTATTTGGGGTCCAAACACACCTATCCTTTTCATTAGGACAGTAAAAATATTGCTAAAGTAAGATAAAACACTAAACAAACGTGTCTGCTACAATGCTATTAACTCTCCTGTAGGAACATTGACTGTCCCAAACTGCCTCAAAACCTCTCCCACTTACCATTTCACATATGATCTTACCTTTAGAGTTCACCTCAGCAAATAAATTTGGAAATTGGATCTTCAAGGGACAATGACCAATCCAAATTTGTTGTCAAAATCTGACCTTAACACCTTTGCCCACTTCCATTCTCATATTACCCAAGAAGAAAATTCGATGGGCTACAATCCCTTTCCATATAGATGTAATCCTTTTTACATTTCTTCCTTTAGCAATGATCCCATGTTCCTTATCAGTCCCATATTTCTCACCTAACATGGTCATCCATAATTGCTCATCCTCACTAGCACATCTCCACCACCATATTTTGTAAGAAGAGCATTGTTCCCTGCTTTTAGTCTTTTGATACCCAAACCACCATCACAAATAGGGGCACAAACCTTATCCCAATTAACAAGGTGAAAACATTTTTTCTCATCATATTCTCCCCACAAAAATCTTCTCATAATATATTCCAACTTCTTTATCACCTTACTTGGCAAATTTGAATAGGGACATATAGTAAATAGGTAGGTTTGCTAAAGCTGACTTAATAAGTGTCAAACGACCCCCAAGAGATAACAACTTAATTTCCAGGGATCAAGCTTGTATTGCATCCGTTGTATTAGAGGATCCCAAATGGCCATAGGTCTATTATTTGTAGATAAAGGGAAACCTAAGTACTTTATAGGAAAAGTACCAATCCCACAGTTAACCACCTCAGCAAATGCTCTCATCTTATGCTCATTGCATGCCACACCAAAAATATTAGTTTTCTGGAGATTCACTTTCTACCCTACGATCACCTCAAAACAGTTCAAGAATCTCTTAAGTATTTTTATCGTTTGTTTATGTGTTTTTCAGAAGATTAAAATATCATCAACATATTGAAAGTGGGATACCACAATCCCATTGTTTTTAACTATAAAACCAAAGTATCCCCATCTCAACCATTAAATATTTCCCCCACAATAGTGAATAAGGAAGGGGATAAAGGATCCCCTTGTCTTATCCCTCGTGTAGTCTTAAAGAAACCAT